TTAATTTTATTTGGCATTCACCTATTTCCAAATTATAATTGCACTTTTTTTAATTTTTACCTTTCCAAGTCACTTCAATTATTTATTCCTTCATCCGTTAATTTCTCTTCATCTGCTTTTCTTTTTTCGGAAAAAGAAAGTAAGATTGTTGGTAAATAGTGATTAAAATTACCGAATTCTAGTTTTCATCAATTGGTTAAAGTTATTGGACCTCACTTCTAGTCATAGAGGATTTGAGTCAATGGGACAGTAAAAAAATAACAGTTAAATTCTATTTTCGTTCTCAAATTTCTATTTTGGTCTCTAAATTTTTAGTCCATTAAATTTTAGAAGGTTTTGTTTTAGTTTTTAAACCTATGAAAAAAAAATTATTTTTGCCGCTTTTCGGTGATCAACTTTTCATTAATGAGATCTAAAAAAAGAAAAAAAAAACTTTTCATTAATGATGATTATTTAGTAAAAATATTGAATTTTGAAAATTTGACATTTTGACTCACCCAAATATAATTTAAGTATTTTCCATATAAATATCTTGTTTAGGTACATGAACAAAAGATATGTGTATGTTTAGATTTTTGTAAAAAGAAAAATGATAAAATAAATTAACAGCATGGACTAAAATTACTAAAATAAAAGGTTTGAAAGTGTAAGGAAAGGCAAAATTATCCATTTAAACCGTAAAATATATTAACAAAGTAAAGCAACTCATAATTATGTAGATGGAAATGTTGAAATTTTAAAAATGAATAAAAAATAATTATTCTATAGAATATTTACTTCATGTTAGCCATATATTATAAACATAAGTGTATTTAAAAAGAAAAGTTTAGACTTTAATTTCTTTGCATTATTTGTAACATATTTCATCCATTTTAAGAGATCTATCCTTAATCATATTAACTTATACAAATACAATGTAAAAAGTTTATGATTAATTCATTCTTTCAAATGATCCTAATTTTTTAAAATTCAATGAGATTCAAACCTTTTGGTCAATGATATATATCATAACTAATTGGTTATTTTTAATCAAGAATATTGATTTTAAGTTATTCTAATTAATTAAAAAGATTCGTAATATTTAAATATAAGATTCATATACTTTTTCTAATTTGGTTTGATTAAATTCGTTTAACTATGTTCACCTTAATACTTTTTTTTTTTTTGCCTTTTCCCTATATCGGAGATATATATCATCAATTTTTTTCGAGATATTTCAAGCTCTCCCATGAGAAGTGTTTTTATCATAAGATCATATTTGAATTTAGTGTGGTTAAGTTCGTCATTAGGATTACATTTTCTCAATACTGTTTAATGTTTGTTTACTAATTAAGAAAAATCTCACTAATTTTTATGATATTACTCGATAATAATTTTGTTTTTAATTTTATAACTTAATTTTATTTATTAGTACAGGCAGAAAAATAGCCATGAGTATCTGAGTTCTCTTGTATAGGTCTTTCCTAGCCAAATGACACTCAACCTTTCCCCAATCAACTACTTTTGATCAAGTTCGACCTTGACCGTGGTTGCACGAACGACCAAATACTTTTTTAATTGGGTCTTTTTCATAATATTTTTTAGTACAATATTTTGGTTTGAGATATATGTCAATTACACTGAGTTAGACTTGCTTTAACCTTTTTTTACACAGTACTTTAATAAATTATAGAAATCTTAACAAAATTTCATACATAAAATATAAAGATTCCATGCTATAACCATTTTATTTTTTGTTTTCTTTCTTTAATTAATCAAGTTTCTTGACCCACCATTTCTTTTTGGTCTAAGTTTTTCACACTTTTAAAATACTCTTTGAATTTTTAGCAAAATCGTAAAAAAAAAAAAAAATCGTTTCTCTTTTTTGAAATTTTCATTATATTTCTTTTTAGGCAAATTTCATTAGAATTTTAAAAAAGTGTTCAGAAGTAGAGTACTACAAGACAAAAATAAAACTATTATTTGTATAAGCATGTTTTTTAAAGAAAAAAAAGAACCAAAAATCAAATCCTATTGGCTCATAATTTCGAAAATGACTTTGATTTGTCTTTAAGAAAATAGGGTTCTAAAGACATTTTAACAGCTATTATTTTTCGAAAAAGATATGTGCCATCTTCAAATGCTCGAAATATTAGATATATGGAATTAGAAATATTTGACATCTTTAGATAGACTATATTTGTTTGGTAGAAATATTTATAAAGATGTTTGGAAATATTTGGATAAGTATGTATAGGTATGTTTTGCAGGATTGTACCTAGAAAATAGTTTAAACTTAATTGTTCCAACAATGCCCTTACCAATCCTCTTGTAATTTATATGTTAACATTTTTTTGAAAAGAATAATTAAATATAGTTTGAATTTGTATAGAAATTTTTTTTTAGTAGTATAATATGATTTCTTTTATACCAATTTAGTTTACCTTGGTGACTATTAAAAGAGTGAAATAAATAAAAGATTACACACTAGATTTCAAATAAAAATAAGTTAAAGATATTATAGAGTCTCCTTAAAATTTATTTTATATCTAAATGTAGTATATAAATATATTTTTAGTTATATATAGTCATTGATCAATTAATAAATATATTTGTCTATCTTTTTTCTTTGTTTATTTTAATGAAATTCATCTAGAGAAATAGAAATAAAGAAAATCGTTGAAAGAAAATACATATATAAGTACAATGGAGGACAAAAATGTCATTAGAAGATATGGAAATTTGGACCAAACAAAGGCCCCTTAAAACTATATTTTTTAAAGTTCATTTTAAAAAAGTAGATAGAAGAAAGCTTCTAGTAAATAAGCATAATTTTTTTTACTCGAGAGAAAAAAGAAAGGTATAGTTTTAAAAATTTTATTAACACTAAAGCGCACTCCCTATTAAAACACATACAATAATGTTTATATAAATTGTAATTGTTATGCCTTTTCAACTATTTTTATTCCCACGCCATATTAACTGTCAATTTAAAAGGAAATTCAAAATAATATCTCAAAAAAATTGAATTAGTACTTAAAATATTATAACCTACATGAATGAACTCTTCTTAAATAAAGTCACTTGACTTCTTATGATCAAAAAAGAGAAATTTAAAAATTACAAATTACAAATAATAGTAAATGTCATCCTGATTTGTTAATATTTCGATATCATTATTTAGATAAGATGATTAGTTAATTTGATACGAAAAAAGTAAAAATTACCCTTCCTATTTGTAAGGGAGAATCCAATTTTGGTGGCTTAACGATTATGACTGTGATGTTTTCTGTATTGATGTTATATAAGCTTCCTAAAAAATAATAAATAATAAATAATAATTCAACATTGCATGTGGCTTCTTCATCTACATTTGACATATAAATTTGTTTGTCTCAAACAACACCAAAGCGAACTCGATAATTGATACATATCTCTGATCAAGAGGTTGTGAGTTCGAACCCTACTGTAACATGTTGTAAAAAAAAAACCATAAAACTGCTAAAAGTTCAGGTTATAAGAGGCCATTTTATAATTATTTTTCAAAAAATCCACCATCTTTTATATATTGAATTAATTGAAATTACACATTATTGATGTCTTATGATTTTATAATTTATTAATTAATGAATTTCAAGTGGACTATTGAAAAGGAAATTATTTTGAATAGGAAACTTTTTTTTTTAGTATAAAGAAATGAATTTTGTTTGAAATTTAATTTAAAGAAGGGGTTTGGCAGATAATTCCAAAAGAAAGACAATGAGGGGTTTATGAGTGTGTAGCTAGGGTAGGACTTAGGAGTACTAATTAATTTTCACAATTTAAATGTGGCAATTTTTTTGGAAAATCTATGAATTATTTAGACTTTTCTATATAGTAATCATAACATTTCAACTTTTGATTCTTCTAAAATTCT